AGATGCAAATGAGAACTTTCTAATGAACTCCATCTTGAAGCGTGGTTTCCCTTCTGTGGCTAAAGAATGGTTTGTCTTGTTGCAGAATCGCAATTCAGGATGGCTTTGAACCTGTTGAGCTTGCTGTCCTGTCTCCGCTGCCTGCCTCATCTCACAATCACCTGTCACACATTACAAAGTCGGCTTTGTCTTCACAAGGAAGGAAATGGCACTGTGTACACCAAAAATAATAAGGGCAATGTCAGGGCTGAGTCCTGCATCTATTGAAAGGGGGGCAAACTATGAATGCCACCTTTACACTGTAAGGGAGTGTTACCCTTCTGTTTGTCACTTCCCTTACACACCTGACAGTGTGTGTGTGTCTCCATTGGCCTGGTGTAATAAGGCTTTATTGATCCTAAGATGATGCAATATTGATCCTAAGATGATGCAAGGCAGAAATTATCTTATGGTCATGTTCACATAGGCGGCAATGGAGTGGTAAAGCCAGGTAAGCTTTGGCAGCTCCAGTATTTCATATTTATACGTTTTGAAGCATGCAAAGCAATAGGCTTGCTGTATAGCCTATCTGCGGATAAAAAAAACCTCCCCGTGCAGTGGGGCTACCTCAGCACTGCAAGGGTTAACTGTTTATTTTTGTCTGTGGGGATTCTTTAAAGCAGATTTACTTACCTGATCCATGCTCCAAGACCGGCGCCTGCAGCCTCTTCTCCCATCTGCTCCAGCAGTCAGAGGGCCACTGATGTTTTCATGTCTAATACAGGCTCCATTGCCCTGTGTTATAAGAGAGGATGTCGAGGGACGGTCCACATACAGAGCGAAGGTCAGTGCCGACCGCCAGGGGAGCAGAAATCAGGCACGTTAAGTTGACCAAACCAATTATGAGCGTTGATCAAGGGATCTCCTACTGTCTTTGTATTCTGACAGTGGCTCACGGCCGCTGTCGGAATACCTGAACAGAGTGGCAGCTGATTGGCTGCCCGCTCTGTTCGTTGAAAGACTTTCCGACCGGTTCTTTCGATCAGCTGATCAAGGAAGACCGGCCGAAATTCACACAGTGGGTGCCACTGTTGGCACCCTTTCGTACCGCACCCCTCGATCAGCTGATGAACCAGCCAAATTCTCAGTGTATGGCCAGCATAACTCTGATTTGCATAATCCTCCCTGACAAAAACAAGCAGTTAACCCTTGCAAGGGAAGGAGGTATTTTTTGTATCCGGAGTTGACACGTCCCTCCCAAGCAGCTCTGATTTGCGTTTCCTTGGTGCAGCCAAAAGAAAATATACGGTACTTCCAGTATGGTGGCCCATATGATTTGCTCCTCTTCCTCTAATGTGGGTGCTGTGTAGATGGCTCAGTGATGTCACATGTGGACATGTCCTCAGCCCCCTGTAAGCTCCTACTAGAGCACGCTTCAACAGTGCTTTGTTTCCAGTGGCTGAACAGAGTGGTGGAGGAACAAAGAAAGGCTAAATATATGCTGCTGTGGGACATGTTCCTTTTGTTTTACTGCTTCATAGCACAGGTTTCCTTTATGGGTGCAGGTTATTGAAGTATTTTGCACGCTGATTCATATTCAGTGTTGAGAATCCCCTAATAATAGCTGCACTGTGCAGGAGCTGATGTCTGACATTGCCCTGAGCCAACATTGGCTAAAATTTCTCCATGATCATTGGGAACTGTGGACTGCTTGCTGGAAATAATGTGAGGGGAAACTGGTATGTATGATCTTAAAGGAGAGGCATTTCAATGACTATTCTGCCACTTGGTGTGTCTGCTTGGTTTAAAGATTGGTGGGATTTTTGGGGGCTTATGCTGAATTAAGGCAAATTTCTGTAAAAGGTTTGACACTCCTCGTCCACCCAGGAACCATCCTTCTTTTTCACAGCTCCCAGGTGTAACCAAGACAGGGTGCTGCCTAATATATACGTATTGGTGGGAAGGAGGAAGGTGGAGGATTTAGACTCTGTACAGGCTGCCAATGATGGCAGCCTGAAAACCATAGCTTTTTAAGTGTATTGTTTCAGGCCTACTCCTCATCCTCCCTGTTTGCAGCAAGCAAAGCTGCAGAAGTCTTGGGTTTGAGAATTGGCTGTCATATACCACCTCCATAATATTACTGCAAATTAGTGTTGAGGAAATTAGGTGGTTCATGTTGCCCATATATTACTCCTGCTTAAGGGGAGTGCCAGACAGAATCTAAATGGTTGATGTAAGTAGCCATAACAGTCCACCCACTATGACAAAATGAAGGTCAGAATGTGGGCAGTTTTAATTCTGATCGTGCTTAGAGGGCTAGCGTGCAACAACCATGTAGAATTCGCATTTCTGCAGCTTAGGGAAGTTTAATTCGATTCATGATTGCTGTATTTTATGAATATCATTACCCATTTGCACTAGGTTAATTAAAACAATCTTAGTTTTAGGGGCTGATTTATAATACGTTTGCACAGCTATATGCTGTGCAAACTTGTTATAAATGAACCCCTTTAAGTGGATCTTTGAATGCACTCTTGTCAATCGAATTAACCCAACAGTTAATGCAATTGACAGACCCTTGTAACAGGCTTACTACCGGGATCATTATGCCCATTGTTCTATTTCATTACAGAATCTAGCAGACTCATAGCTTGCTTGAAGCATTTGTGGCTAGGTTTGTAATCTTCGTTAAACTTGGAGTGCAGATTGATCCATTGTATTGCTGATCGAAACCAGTAGTCTTTCATTTTCTTACCTGTATTGGTGTCGGGTAGGATGAGATTGCAAGGGACAAAAAGGACCTCATTTTACTATATAGCCGAGGGCTGGTGGCACAAGTTCTTCATTTTAATGAAGGTCCAGTCCCATTTCAGCACTAGGATATAATAGAGAGGTGCCTCCCTTTGTTCCCCAGCCCCCATGTTGTACTTTTCCCCTTCTTTCTCTCCGCAGGTGATCAGAAGAGGTTGGTTGACCATCAATAACATCAGCATCATGAAAGGAGGCTCCAAGGAGTATTGGTTCGTACTGACGGCAGAATCCTTATCCTGGTATAAAGATGATGAGGTAAAGTGGGACATTGCGGGGAAAACTAATGATGTTTTGTTTTGGGTTCTGTGTCTGACAGTGTCTCATTTGTAATGCTGAACTCCAGGCAGCTAGAATAGACACACATTAATGCTGCTATGTATTGATGAATACATCAATACTTGTATGTGTGTATGTATATAATATATATAATTTTATGCAAGCAGTGTACCTGAATTTGACTTGGTTTTAGCCTCTTTTAATCCTTAGACAACAGAGCTCAGATTGGTAAAGGGAGAAGCAGCACAAGGAGCCAGCCAGCTGTGTTAACAAAGCACATGATGATAGGAGGAGAGAACAGAGTGACAGAGAGATGAACTCGTCTGCCTGCTGCTTCTCCTTTCACTGTCCATTGACAGGCTGGAGAGGGAGAAGTCCTGTAAATGTTTAATGAATCTCAGGACTAGATCAAGCAGGTACAGCTGCTTCCTCTAATGCATTTTACCCGAGTATGTGGATGTTTGCCTGGAGTTCAGCTTTATATTATTATATGAACGCTTTACCCATTCTTAAAATGAATTTGTGTAATTTAATAAACCCTTGTATGTAGTGTAGTGCCATGTACTCCCAGTGTGTCTCCTGACCATCGCTGTGCATATAATGGTGAATCCATGTGTTACTGAGAACCAAGATTCATTGTAAAGCAAAGGTAAGCAACTTTGACACTCCAGCTGTGGTGAAACTACAAATCCCATGATGCCTCTGAGTCATGCCCATTGGTGTTCAAGTGTCTTGCAGTGCATGGGACTTGTAGTTCCACAACAGCTGAAGTGCTGAGGTTGCCTGCCCCTGTTTTAGTGCACTGCTGGCTCCAGAAGACAGGGCTGTATTTTTCTGGAGTCCACAGTCTGGCAACCTCTGCACTCTGGCTGTTGTGAACTACAAATCCCACTATGCCTCTGCCTCGGGGAGTCGTGTCTGTGGCGGTCAGTCTTGCAATGTCTCATGGGGCTTAGGTTCTTCAACAGCTGGAGTGCTACGGTTGCCTACCCCTTTTGTAGTTGATCGGCGGCTCCAGAAGACTGGGCTATTTTTTCCTGGTGTCTATGGCTTGGTGAATCTTGGATATTACTGTCTTTCAGTGGGATGGGGTGGGGGTGCTGTTTACTAAAGAGAGAAGCAGTGCTCCCGCTGAACCATCAGCAAAACACATTCTGGGGTTACATTTTTCCAGTACAAAACAGAAGGTAAAATCGTAGGGGTTTCCTATGTACATATATATTTATTTGGCTATATATCCAGTTTTGATATTTCATGAGACTTCTGTCCATTCTATTTTGTGATCTTTGTTTTCTCTAATGTAGTATAGTAGACGCTTAACTTGAAAATGATCTTCATCTGCCCTGTATGTCGTAGGGTTTGCTGACAGGTTAGGGTGACTCCAGCAGCCATTTTGTTCTGTGCACATATGGAGTCTCCGTTTTATGGTGATTCCTCATGATCAGTGAAGTAAAAAGTGGGACAAGGAAGGCACAGTGGCTTGGAGAATCATTAAAGGATGATAAAACCAAGCTGACCGAATGAGGAAGGGACAGTTGTTGATATGCAGAGCCGGGGTAACTGACACGGATGACATTTGCAGTCTCCCCTAACGTAGAGAAGAATAAGTCACCAGCACACCAGAGGTCCACTTTATCCTCCCGTCTTTAATCAACATCAAATAAAAATGGCACCACATACAATGCAATGCTATTGTCGCACTATCTTGATCTGATGGCAGGACAGCACAAGGTCTCAAAATGTTGTGTTTTGTATGTGGTGCCATTTTTATCTGATGTCAAATAAAGACGGGATAATAAGTGGATTATGACTGCAATCAACTAATCAATCGATAATGAGAATAGTTGTCAACTATTCTCATTATCGATTAGTTGGTTGGATCCCCCAGCTCTCTCCTCCATGCTGTGAGGAGGGCACAGCAAGCAGTGGGCGGGTGCAATAGTCAGCCTGCTATTGCTATTTGAAATGGCCAAAAGCCGGCTGGCTATTGCACCAGCCCACTACCTGCTGTATTAACATTCAGCTGCCGTCTGCAGAATCTTGCCACAGGCAGGGGTCATTCCCTGGCTGAAACTATTCAAGCACCATGTGCTTACGAAACAATTAAAGAAAAAAAGTAATTTTCGGTTTCGGCCTGTTAAATTCTGCTGCGGGAGGTGCGTTGCAGTGCCATTCATATCAATGGCACCACAAAGGTGCCTCTCACCCACGGTGTAATCGTCCCCACTGGAACGCACCTTACTGCAATGCTGTGTGTTCCAGTGTAGTGCGATTGCAAAAAATTGTGCATGCCGTTTTATTCTGAAGTAAACTTTGTGTATTTTATTTTACATTAAGGGTGGTATTTATTACATTTTTTTCCCCGATTTAATCAGATAAACTTATCGGCCAACTAATTGATTTATGAAAATAATCATTAGAAGAAGCCCTAAAGTGGACCTCTAGTGTGCGTGCTGGTGGCTTAATCTTCTATACGTTGATCCACGCGGTGCCATCCGCAGGCTATTTCAGCTACCACTGAAATATATGAAGTGGGATTCCGGTCTGGAGTGCAATGGGACATTCACATACTCAGGATAAAACAGACACCTAAATGGCATGGAGCTGCTGTGCAGAATAAGAACAGATTTTCTTTAGTAGGCTGCTGTAGAGCTTGGGGGAAAAACAAAATTTGCATTCCAACTGGAGTGTCTCATAGACCACATCTCAAGGCAGACATACACGCACATCTGTTTGCCATGTGTTTCCTGTTATCTCCATTGAGGTCCTGTGCGTGTCTCCTCGTCGACCATTGTCCATCCCAGTTTAACCAGTGTGTAGACTACTGTTCAATCACTATCCAACGAACACGTAGTCTGAACACTGGGAAAACGGGGTCAGGCTCTGAATCGCAGAATCCCAGCCGGCGACGCTCAAGAAAAATTCCTCGCCACTTCCTGTGCCTCGCCGAGCTGCAGAATAGTCGCTTCTTTGTGCCCGTCCGACCGCCAGATGTGCGCCTCCCTTTGTTAGCAGAGTAAAATCTTCAAACTTCTCTAGTAACTCGCCCCTAGCAATTTGGTGACCTTGGCATGTAAGGCTGACTCCGAGGGTCCTGTTAACCATTTAATACACTATCCTCGCTAGACCTGATGTATGAAAACTAGAGCTAGCTAGCAGTCTGGTTAACAAAGAAGACAAAGGGGTTGGATTAGGAAAAGTGGATCAATGAAAGCCAAAAAAAGTGGGGCTGTCTCCTGTAGCATGCAGTCTAAACTCTTCCACGGTCACACAGAATGACAGATGATTCCTTATCGGTTGCTGTGGGAGAAAGCACACTGTAAGATTGGGGAGGGGGGGGGGGGGGGGGGTGGAGAGGGTGAAACGGGAAATGGGGCG